AAAAAAAAAAAAAAAAAAAAAAAAAAAAAAAAATCATCAAATTAGCTGATGATCATACATATTATAAGAATAGAATTTAATATATTTATTCGACAAACGAGTTGGCCATCGTTGATATATATATATATATATATATATATATATATATATTTTTATTAAATTATATTTAATAGCATCTCTTTTTCAACTTTTATTAACGACCCAACACTATACGTCACTTTTCCGGTCATTATAGTTCAACGGTCCTAAATCTCGTCGGGCTTTCCCGGTTTCTGAAATTATAGACAAAACTAAAAATATAGATAGCCACAACGAATGGGCTAAAAAAGCAAACAAGAAAGGAGTATACTCTTCTCTCACTATTTGGAGCTAATGTCTGCGTACGTGACACGGCTTATCTTCTTTCTACGTATTCCCTGCTTTCAACGTATAACATCTTCGTTCTGCGTATTCAGCGACGAGTCAGCAAAAGCAAGAGATAATAATGATTTGGCTTTAATAAATGCCGCGAGGTAATTTTCGCGACCGCATGCAAAATGGGAAAAGGGACGCGTCGTTGGCTCAACGAACGCATAGTTTGATTAGCATCTCATTACGGATCCCACATGCTGGCTTTTCCATAAACTTCCTGCCTTTTGTCCATAAAAGTGAGGTACGATAACAGGAAGGCCGAGTTAATGATTTGTTATAACATTTTCTTATACGTATTAGATATTTTTGCTCTATTTCATAAAGCAGCGCGTCTCTTTTAAATGCCGTTGAAAAGTATCAAGTATCCTTTTATCTTATCAATATTAGAATGTTTTTAGTCATGTTTGCGCATAGATGTACTATTGTTTTATATTGTCTTACGATTTGAATTATCGGAGCCTTTCGTTCTTATTGTTTACTTGTCAGTCTTAATTTAATGTTGTGATACGTATGCAGGAATGGCCTATTTTAAATATCAGTCGAAGCAAATTTTAATCACACCCAGTTAAAAATTTATATAATACTTTGCGTATTAGGAGTACATACGGTCACGTGCCCAGAGACAATGTATATTAAATCAATAAAGAAGATTGTAATCGTGGATGGAGATGCATTTTTTATCGCGTTTTAATGCTCGGTACGTAAGATCGCAAATGACTATTAAGTGTGCGAATAATTGTTAGCTCAGTTACGCTCAAGCAAATACTAATAATCACTTACGATGTATGTGCGTAGAGACTTGTTTGTGATCATCTCGTCTCGTCTCACAAAACAAAGTCCATATGCGTGGATTATTGCATAGACAAAAAGATGAAGAAGAAGAAGAAGAAGAAGAAGAAGAATAATGTGTGCGTGGATTTATTAATTTCAGAGAAATTACGCAGAATTAATTTTCATCTGGCGTCGAATTTTTTTACTCACCTCTGTTCTGTTTTAGCTCGTTTGGAAATGTACTTTTTGACCTTGGGAACAAACCCTCGGCTCCCCTCCTTGATTCGCCCAAGTTATTCGTTACAAAAACGAGAGGACGACCAATGTTCACGCTTGCACTTTTGTATTCGTGTCACTGGGAATGGCAAAAAATTCGCGCGCGAAATTCGAATGGTCGCGCCGCGACACTTTCAACTTGCGCCCCTTTTTCTCGTTCGCGCTCTTTTTTTGGTCGTCGTCACTTGTCGTCTGGTCGCACTGTAAAGAAAAGCAAAGAGAAAAAAAAACGAGCGTGATGTATGAATGTGCAAATAATTCTCGAATGCGATTGTACGGCTGGGTGACGAAAATTCAAGAATTCTTTTAAATTTTTTTTTTTTTTTTCCACGCGTTTTATTCAAATTTAACCCCCCTCCCTCAATCACCATTTATTATTCGAGGGTTCTTTGAAAAAAAAAATAATAAATAAATAAATAAATAAATAAATAAATAAAATTAAAAAAAAAAAAAATTAAAAAAATTATCCCTAAATTTATGAAGGAAATTTTTGTGCAAAATTCTTAAAATGTGAAGAGTTTTTATCCATTTATGCTTCATGTTTTTGTAAATTATCGACGAAACGGATTTAATTAATTAAGTTAACCATTAAAACATTCCCGATTATAATCACGAGAAACGTTGACCTCATTTTGAAAAATTGAAAGACTATTCAATTATCAATGCGACAATTCCTTATCTTTATCACACTAGTAAAAACATTATTTTTAATCATTTATTGTTTTTCTATATATAATTTTTTGATATTATTTCGTACATTGTCATTCCATATAAATAATCCCATTTTACTCAATTATATTGCATTATTATTACATCAATTACCAATTTGCTCCTATTTAATACATATTTGATTGGGACAAAAAAAGTACTAATGCTGCTTACTAAAACTATAATCTATATGAATATCATTTGAATTTCATGATATCATTTTGGAATAATGAAAATTTATAAATTACAATAAGACAGAAATTAATTTAAAAGCTATATAAGCGATTATTTCCAAGATTTTTATACGATAATCTATAAAATTCTTAAATTATTTAAGAGTTTAGCGTAAATAGACACTTGCAGTTTATGCGTTGACAACAATAACATTTTTACTTATAATATTTTAATAATAACATTAGTAGTTCACGTTTATGTATACATTAAAATCTAAGCTGCCACTCCTCAACAAAGACTTTAATGTAAAATATTACTTGAAAATTTCTCGAAACAAAAGAAAGTGAAGCCGGCTTAGAAAAATTGTTTACACAGCCAAGAAAATGTCTGTCGTTCCGCCAATTAAGCACTGTTTTTCACAAGACAATGATACTTGTAATCGATCTTTTTCTCTAGACTTTCTAGATTACAGCCTACCAAAATGACATCAATATTAATCCCAATTTTGACATTTACAATTTCAATTACAAGAATCCCCGCACAATCTATATTCCATAAACTCCGATTACAATTGTAACGCAAGTGCCGAGTGCTCGCCCGACTTTAATCCTAACGACATGGTAATATCAAATACACAGAGGCACTCGGTACGACACGGATGGTAATACTAATTTAAAGGATAAATGAAACTCAGGTGTGTAAAGCACACCCTCACAATGACCCCGAGTGGCTTAAGTTCCAATTTCCAAGCTCTACCTTACAAGATCGAAGAGAAGCGCGGAAAATTCGAACGTGCCCTTCCAGCCGTCTGTATGAGCGCCTGCGCCGCGAATCTTTTGAAAGATGCTTGGATCGGGGTAGGTAGTTAAGAAGGAAAGAGAGAGAGAGAGAGAGAGTGAGAGAGTGAGAGAGTGAGAGAGGGTGAGAACGATAGAGAGACAGACAGAGACGGAAAGACGGGCAGACAGAGACGCGACGCTTCGTCGATTGCGCGCGCTGTCTTTTGCCGTCGAGTCGCGACTAAAGGGACCGGCAGCGCGAGTCGTGAGCGCAAGCCGCGCGCACTCGTTAATCACTTATTCACTCCCTCTCTCTCTCTCTCTCTCTCTCTCTCTCTCTCTCTCTCTCTCTCTCTCTCTCCAGTATCTCACTCCGCGCGGCAAC